TTTCTGATCACATTTAAAATCTGTATCAAAGTACTGCGTACCAGTACAACCTTAGAAAGCAGTGTGGCAAAAGCTATCAAAATTTATAATATGTGTATTCTTTGCCCCAGCAACTCCACAGCTATACATTTAGCTTAAAGAATTACATAAGTAGGCAGCGAAACATTTTCAAAGATCTTATAGCGATATTTTTCTGTAATTGTGTAAAACAAAGCACCAATTGGTACATTATGCAATGAGATACTATGCAACTATTTAAAGCAAAGTATGGATAGTGAAAGGCATTTATAATATATTGTGGAATGAAAAATGTTATAGTACAGAATATATAGCACATCTCATAGTCATATGTATACCTATATGTATTTGGTTACATATATATGTGGTAGTGGGAGGATTTAAGAGTATGTTTTAATGTCTGGTAGGGCTAGTTCCTTCTATTTTTTTTCTTTCCAGTTTGAGTTACTCTCCCGTGTTCTCTAAAAACACTAAACAAAACAAAACCATGGTAATTTTTATTGGGATAGCTTAAATTTATAAATTAACCTAAGGGAAAAACATGTTTTGATGTTGAGTCTTATCTAAAAATTTGGTATAATCTTTTCATTTTGTTCAAGACTTTTTTTGTCTTTCACGTGTTTTATTTTTATGCTTTCCTCATAGGTTTTGGACATGTCTTAAGTTTACACATCTTTTTTGAAATCATAAAAGGGAAATTCTCTGTAAGTCTATTTCCTAACTAGTTAAGGTTTGTTTGTGTGTGTATTCTTTTATTCTCCTTAGTAAACATTTTTATTGAACTATGATTATATATACAGAAAAGTGCATAAATCATTAAGTGGACAGTTTCATATTCACGAAGTGAATGCACCTCAGAACCAGCACCTGGATCATAAAACGGAGTATTACCAGCACCACAGAAGCTTCCTTGTACCCTTCCAGTCCTTGTTGAGCTAAAGAGGACGGTTGAAAAAAAATGTATCCGTTATGACTCCTTTTATATCAAAACCAGATAAAACTAATTGGCGATGACGTCAGGATAGGGCTTACCTTTGGGGAGGGAGTGACTGCAAGTGGGCGCTGATTTCTGATACCACACGTAAGTTTTTCTTATTTTGAACTTCATTTAAAAGGAATCAGAGTATGCACTCTTTTTTGTCTTGTGAAGGCTACTGATACTTCTCTGTTAATAAATTGCTACTTTACTAAGTTCTCACAGTGTTTCTACAAATTCCTTGGGTTTCCCAGATAGAAAATCCTATCTGCAAATAGTTTCACCTCTCCCTTCCCAAGCTTCATTAGCTAAAACCCCAACACAATGTTTAGCAGTAGAGGAGATAGTGGGCTTTGTTCCTGACTTTAGTTGGAAAGCCTCTTTTGTTTCAATAATAATATGCTGTTTTTGGGCAGAGGTACAATGTTAATCAACTACCATCAGTTTCTACTTGAGTATATTTAACATGAATGAGTGCTCCATTCTGTTATACCTTTGCTGCAAAGATGGAGATAATCACATGATTATTCTCATTAACTCTTTTAATATATTAGTGGATTGTCTAATATTGAATTTTCCTTGCATTCCTATAATAAACTCAACTTAGTCATGATTTATTACTTTTTCAAAGTGTTAGTGGATTGTTTGCTAATATAGTTAAAATGTTTGCAATGATATTCCTGAGAGTCTGTAATTTTCTGTCAGGTTTTAGAGACCATGCTATTACATTCACTTCATAAAATGAATTTGGAAGTCCTTCTCTTTTTTCGGCACTTTGAGGTTCAACATTCTTTTTCTAGTCTCTGGGATTCTTTAAACATCAAGACTATTTACTCTTACAGATTTGGTAGAAATCTTGAAACAATCTGTGCCTGATGCTTTTTTTGTAAGGAGTCCTTTAACTATGTTTCTTCTATGGTAATAGTTGGTTCTGAATTTTTATGTCTTACTAAAGTAAATTTTGGCAATTTGTATTTTTCTAAAAAAGTTATTTTTCTAATTTATTATATGAAATTATTCAAAGTGGTCTTAAAATTTTGAAAATTCCCCTGATTTATGGTTATTTCTATGTCATTTAAATTTTTGTTTCCTCCCTTTTTTCCTTAAGTAGGTTAGCTGGTGTTTTGTCTTATTCTCTCTCCCCTCTCCCCCACTTTTTACTAATTATTTCCCTCTGCTTTCTTTTGGCTTGCCTTTTTCCTCTAGTCTTAAAGACTTGGTAGCTTAAATTTCAGCTTTCCCCATTTTTACTGATATAGGTCTAAATACTATATATTTCCTGTCATAACTGCTTTAAAAAAATATTAGGTTTGCCCTGGCTGGTGTTGCTCAGTTGATTGGAGCATTGTTCCAAAAGCCGAAAGGTTGCAGGTACAATTCCCAGTCAGGGCACATGCCTAGGTTTTGGGTTTGATCCCTTGTCGGGGCAAGTATGGGAGGCAAATAATTGATGCTTCTCTCCTACATCAATGTTTCTCTAGCTCCCTTTCTCTCTCCCTACCCATCTCTCTCTAAAAAAAGAAAAAGAAAAAAAAAAGAATCAACAAAAACATATCCTTCGGTAAGGATTAAGAAATAAAAAACATTTAAATAAGACATACTAGGTTTTCATCAGTCTCCTGGTGATGTCTTTCTGGTGTGCTTTCATTGTCTATGGTGATGTTGGTCTGCTTCTTATTTCTTATAACTCTGAATGGGATTTGACTGTAATCGTCTTCAGCTGCTCATTTAGGGGGAAAAAAATTGTTTTTCTGAACTTTTAGGAGAGAGGGTGACGACTTTTCTGAGATCCATGGTCCTAACACTCCCTTTTCATTTTTACAATGTGATTTACAGGTTACATGGTCTGTATTGGTCTTCCCTCCCAATATTTACTGAGACTTTCTCTTCCCTTTGTCCTATTGTACTTATCCTGTCCAATTTGGGTACTAATTCTAGTTTTTTCCTCAGTGCTAGATCCCCAGGGGTGAGTATGGGAGGCAAACAATTAATGCTGTCTCATTACTTTTAAGACTACTCAGGACAGGGCCCAGACTGCTCTAGCACAATCATCACATCTTATTGTATTGCTGTAACACTCACTGAAAATGGGAACTTGTAGAACCCCTCCTGGTTTCAGCTTCTGTTCTCGGATTGGCCCACTGCACTTTCTAGCGAGAAACTGTGGGCAATGTTATAGTTCTGTTCTCAAGGCTGTCAGAAACCAGCTGCCTGCCTTCCATTCATAGATACTGAGACCACGTTGGGTAGTGATTGTCCTCACTTATTTGGATTTTCACATTCACGGGGAAACCTTGTCCTTTAGTTTTGTAGAATAGGGTCTGTGGCTATCCTAGTTACATTCAAATGGGGAGATTAAAAATTCATACTGCTGACATCATTTTCTCTGAATTTAAACTGAGATTTCTATTGTAGAAAAGAGTTTTAATAACCATAATTTTATGGTAGTTATGACAAATTATAATTAGGAATGTTCTGTATTTCAGTTACTATGCTAAGTACTTTATATGTATTATCTCATTTAATCTTCAAACAACCATATGAGTTAGATATGCCCTCTCCCCCGATTTTATCAGTGGGGAAGTTAGGGTCCAAGGCCACACTGCTGCATTGCCAGATCTGGAATTTAAGCCCATCATCTTTACTAAACTGACTCTTAAATTCTATCAGATCCAGTAGTTTTCAAACTATGTACCACTTCCAGCAGAACTTCTATTTGAATTTAAATATTTATAAGTAACTATTTAAACATCTAATGAAAATGTACACAAATTACAGATCAAATCTAAAACACTGTAGATGATAAATAGGTTGAATTGTGTCGTATGACCTGACTAACCTTGTTTTTTTTTTCTTTAAATATATCTTATTGATTTTTTACAGAGAGGAAGGGAGAGGGATAGAGAGCCAGAAACATCGATGAGAGAGAAACATCAAACAGCTGCCTCCTGCACACTCCCTACTGGGGATGTGCCCGCAACCTAGGTACATGCCTTTGACCGGAATCGAACCTGGGACCTCTTAGTCCTCAGGCTGACGCTCTATCCACTGAGCCAAACTGGTTAGGGCTAACCTTGTTTTTATGAAATGCTCAAAACAAAGTTTCTACTATCTCCTAAAAAGTACCATATTAAAAAAGAGAGAGAGAAAATACCATATTAGAGGTGGGGATATAACGAGATTAGTTATTTGAGATTTTGGAGCTCATATTTCTCTTCTCATTATATCACTATTGCTAAAAAACAAAGTATGTATGTAAAATATCACTTAAAATTTACCTAATAAATACTTTTTTTGTAAATAACTATTTAGAGAAAGTTAGGAATAATTTCTCCACAATTCACACTAGTCTGGTATTTTTTGGTCAGTACGCTGCTGTGGAATATGACAATCACTGGTTCATAAAGTTTTTTTCTATTTTTATAGATAACTTTTTTTAAAAAAAGATGTTTTTATTGATTTTAGAGAGGGAGAGAAGAGGGAAAGATAGAAACATCAATGCATTAACATCAATCGGCTGCCTCCTGCTCGCCCCCTGCTGGCGATTGAGCCTATAATCAGGGCATGTGACCTGACTAGCAATAGAGCCAGCAACCTCCTGGTGCATGGGTTGACGCTCACCTACTGAGACATACCAGTCAGGCCATAAAATTTTGCAAGAAGGCCCCTCTCAAGTATATAAATTAGAATCTTATTATAATCCATACTTTTATGCTATTAAATTATACAAGGAATCAGAAAATATTTCTTAATAGTTTTATGAAATACTTTTACCTTGGCATTCCCTTTTCTTTTATGAATACACTTACTGTTACTAACTTTCCCACTTTCCAACGATTAATGGTGATTCGGGAAAAACAGTTTGGGCTTTGCATATAGTTCTAAAACCATTATATATATGTTATTTTACCTCCGATGGCTAAATGATGATGTAGTTTGAGATGTGGGTATCTTAAAAATGGCTGAATTTAAAGAGAAGCAACTCATGGAAGGATGACATCTGTGGTTAAACTTACGTTTTTCCATCATCAGAAAATTGATTTTATTTCTAATGTAAAAAAAATTTTACTCTGGCAAATTGAAGTTTACAACTGTCCATACCAATAATACATGATCATTTTTTTCAAGTATATACTAGTTTTCCCTTTGTTTGGGAAGAACCATAATTTAAGGCTATTTTCCTTCCAATTTAGGAAATAAAATAAAATGGTAAATGTTACTATACCTAAACAGCGATACTAGTAATTTAGTTTTTATACTGATTCTTGGAGAACAAATAATTCAATATTTATTATCACCACAATTTTAACTTAAATCCAGCCCCTTAAGTGAAGCGTTTTCCTTCTCCATTTCAGTACTAGTTTCATATCTTTGAATGTCATCGAGCAATAGTGACTGATGTGATTTACTGAATAACTTATTATTGACCAGATGAGTTTTTATACTACCTCCTTTACAATTAGCAAATTCATAGAATAAACAAAACAAAAAGAACAAAACCAAACTCTCGTCTTCAACCCCTAAATAGTACATTTCCCTCCAACTTACCTGAAAATATAAAAACATAAATGGCCACATATGGAGCTAAGCCATTTAATTTACTTGAGCGGTCCTATTTTTTAATTAAATTTTTGCTTATTAAATTTGAAAAAATTAAGCAATTATCAGTTTGAAATTAGAAAAGCTAAAGCATGGGGCAACAAACTAAAAATAAAATCCAAGTGGCTAAAAATAACTGTTATAAAAGTACTAGGATAAATCATGATATCACATATCTCAGAAAAATAAACAAAACTACTAAATGTCTTTTCTTCCAGATAATACTGTTTTCTCCCCATAAAGAAAAAGAAAAAACAGGAACTAATAATTTGAGATTAAAGTAAAACATAACTGTTATTCACCCCAGCAACATTTAAATAAAGGATCTGCACAACACAAAACTTTTCCATTCACTATCACATACAATTAAATTACTTTTCCCACAGTTACATAATAGTCTTCTTAAAACAATCTCCCTTTATGAAATTTATTGTATTAGTTAAGCCTATTCATTCTTGCTATGAGGTTAATTTCACTTATACTGGTATATCCCACACAAATTTAATTGGCACACACTTATGAATGAGACAAAATAAGTCGTCTTCTTTTTAAAAATTATGGGATCAATTGTTTTCAAAGAATAATCCCAGATACTTAATTCTTAAAGCACTTTTCTACCATCAGCAGTCAAGCTTTTAAAATGATCACTAAGTGTTCACCCAAAGATTATCAATGCTATGTGAACTGTAAACTTGAATATTTCTCTTTTATAATATGATACAATTTGTACTGAAGTTTTAAAAAAGATAACCTACATACACACAGTTAATTTTCCTCAAAGAACTTCTTAGAAATACAGTACAAACATTTAAGAACCATAACAGAATCCATTGTGGTTCAAACTTCAAAGATTTTCTTGAAACCCATTACAAATACTGGCTCAAGACCATATTCCAAAGTGACACCAGCACAAGATTTGATTGTAAGACTCTACCTCTTAAAAAAAGAGCACACTTGGTTATACATGGCTTTTAACCGTGAGCTACAGTTATGCTACAAATCCCCCCACCCTCCCAGTCTAAAGTCAGTCATGTGGAGATGTGTACATTCTCTGAGCATTGTTTAGAGTCCTTGTTTTCCCAGCTCTGATGGAGATCGCGAAGGCGTTCAGAAGTCCGTGTGCTTACATTCAGGGCAGGATGAACTGTACAAATTCCACTTTCCTCCATTAGAGACAGGCCACAAATTCCAAAGTATGCATGCAAAGCATCTGAAAATGAGGCATTTTTGTCACAATAGGCATTTTAATTTGTGCATGCTACAAAATACTTCAGCTGCATATCTACCAGCCCATCACATTAAAAATGAATTTTAAAAAATTCTAAATATAGTTTTTGAAATATTTGCTTTCACAAAGTCTCAGACACCAATGCTTAAAAAAACCAGATAATCAAAATCTGATATTTTATTCAAGACAATAATATTAACAAAGGAAAACAGTTCCTAGCTGAAGAAGTGACATTTCCAACATACTTTGTGACTAAAGGACAAAAAGGAAAAGTAGCAGTAATATAAAAGACTTCTCACTATAGTGGGGTTTCCCCTTTGCTTACTATAGAATATGGAAACAAGGGGCTTTAAGTCTATTATCATAACAGGAAAATATTTTCTTTTTTAAAAATATATTTTATTGATTTTTTACAGAGAGGAAGGCAGAGAGATAGTTAGAAACATTGATGAGAGAGAACATTGATCAGCCGCCCCCTGCACATCTCCCACTGGGGATGTGCCCGCAACCAAGGCACATGCCCTCGACCGGAATCGAACCCGGGACCCTCCAGTCCGCAGGCCGATGCTCTATCCACTGAGCCAAACCGGTCTCGGCAGAAAATATTTTCTTAAAAATAAAAATAAACAAACCCCGGAACCTAGGTAGCAGCACCCTTCCCCTCTAAGTTTTATTTCTGACAGTACCCTATATATTACCCTAATGGTGTGTTAAAAGAAAGGCACGTAAGCCAAGTAATCCATTCTGGAATGCTGTACCATATTTAATTTTCCAATTTAGGGTACTGTCAGTCATTCTAAAAATATCTGACCTGAAAATAAAAGCAAGCTTACATTCTATTTGGCTATAATAATGTGAGTTTTCATACCATAACAATTCTTCTACACTGTTCTCACTAGTTTACCATCTTTCAGGGGTCAGAAACCCTCTTCCATTAAAGTGGCCACTGAAGTCACATGGCTGTTGTTGCCTGTCTGAGAGCCTTATTTGGACTTCTTAAGAGCTCAGAGCTCCGCAGTTATGGGAATACTACAAAAAACAGATTTTGTAGCAGTAAATTTTTTTTTCTATTTTTGATTTGGCCATCATTTATGACCTCAGGAGTTATTAAAGTTCAAAACATCTTACCAAGTCAAACTTCGTCAAAGAATTAAAGAATAAGTTTTACTTAGACAAGTATAATTTACTTTTCAAAACAGAATGATAAATAGTTGTGCTTACTCAATGTTATTTGTGAAAAAGTTATTTCACTAATGGAGGCCCACATTAATGCCCTTCTTTGTCTTTTCACAGAATGCTTAGGTTTCTTCTGGCTTATTTTCCTCTAATTTTCAAACCATAAAAAAAAATTGTATTTTCCCTGTACTATTATATGTTCTTTGAAGTTATTCTAAAACTATAAAAGACACAGAGCAACATTAACTTTTACTATCTGGACAACAGGAAACTTTCCTAGAAAAGAATGCAATAGGAAGAGAAGTAAAATACATCCAGAATAACATAAAATTGGGCCTTACACTTTCCAATTAATGTACAAATACATTTATTTTTTTCTCAAAAGGATTCTTGTAAAATCCAGTGAACCAGCAGTTAATTGTTTCAAACCTCAAATAGTAAAAAGAAAACTCTTGGTATTCAAGTACTTAGAATAGATTATAAATACATTCTTTTCTCAAGTTTCTTCTATAAATGTATGTAAAATCTCCTTGTGTCAAATTGGTTATTAGATTTATTAGAACCAATAATAAGATAATTTTAAAGACTTGTTAAAATAATTTTTTTAAAGGCTTTAGGAAAAGGTCTCAGGTCTATCCACATAAGTTCAATTTGTCATACAAAGACTTTCTATGCTCTGTAGTGTACAGGCTCTGAAGACATTGTAACATAATCCGTAAAAAGTATTACACTTAAGTATTCACACAAATGTTATAGAAACTGATCTTGCAAGAAAAAAGGTTCAAGAATTTTCTTTTAAAAAAGCTATTGTAAATACTCAAAAGGTATTTTAAGTATGTCATTTTAAAGACTTGTTAATTTGTTAAAATAGTACATTATTTGTTAAAATAGTACCATGCACTAGCTGAAAAAAAATGGCACCAAGACCAAAATAATTTTCTTGAGTTCCTTTTCTAACATATCTATGGCTATGTGTTAATAGATACCAAAACTTTAAAAATATGAATTTGCTTTAGAAATTGAAAGCATTGTACTTTTTTTTCTAAAGAAGAATATTTTGCATGAAAATACAAGTATGGATGTAAGGATGTAATATTCCTGCTCATTTCAGGTACAAAAATATAATTTTATGATCCCTCTATTTATATTTTGATTCAAGTACATGTTCCAACAATAGCAGTTCAATAATAGACGAACTGAAGAGGCTCTAGGCTAATAATAAAAACCATGATTCTATTACAATGCTGCAAAAACAATCATTTCTTGAATCTAGTTTCATATATTTATAGCTAATAATTTTTCAACTTACTTATTAAAAATGTCAGTGTTCTAAATAATTTTTAATGATTTTTTTTTGAAGCTGTAAAGAGATTCATTATGCTGGAGGTAGTAACATAAGGGGGAAGGGTAGTAGCCTGAAGAATGATGCTAGAGGTAGAAGAGGAGCCAAATCCTGGGAGGGCCTGTGTGTCATGCCAAAGAACTGAGTGCTAAGAAAGCTTTTGCATTTTTGAAATAGATTTAATAGAAGAGTTTAGATTAGAGGTTCTCAACTTTTTTTGTTGTTGCATCAGAGATCCATTTGAGAGAGTGAAAAAAGCTTTGGTCCCTTCTCCTCCTCCTCTTTTTTAATTATTTTTTAAATATATATTTTATTGATTTTTTACAGAGAGGAAGGGAGAGGGATAGAGAGGTAGAAACATCGATGAGAAACATCGATCAGCTGCCTCCTGCACACCTCCTACTGGGGATGTGCCCGCAACCAAGGTACATGCCCTTGACCAGAATTGAATCTGGGACCTTTCAGTCCACAGGCTGATGCTCTATCCACTGAGCCAAACCAGTTAGGGCCCTTCTCCTCTTCTTTAAGCACACGTACATACATACATACAGGGTGTCAATATGAGGGGGACAAGGCTAGAGGCAGGAAGACTAATGATAAGACTTCTGCAGAATCCTAGGCATGAACTTGGGTTTAGTGCTACTAGAGTTTTGGGGCCAGGTGGAGCATGCAAATAATGAGTTCAATTGGCAGGTGAGGTCTGAAGGGCCTATAGATGGCATCCATGTAGCTACTGAGCAAGCAGTTTTATATTAAGAGTATGCAGCTTATAATAAGGTTTGGAAAATATCAGAAATATCCACATATTTTGAAGAAATGTCATTATTAATACAGAGTTTTCAATATTTTGAAAAACCCATTTAAAAGTACTTACGAAATACAAAAATCCTTAACTCTTCACATCTATATCATTCCTGAGTTTGGAAAGCATAGATTATCATATTGTCTGAATCTATTGGATTCCTGAGTTTTAGATAGTGAGTGAATGGTGAGAGTTAACATAGCAAAAGTATTCATCTGAAGAAGAAACTTAATCTGCCAAAATTCAGATAAGAAAAGTATGGACAGTGAAGGACACCTGTATTCAGGATTTGAGATTTTTGATTTAGTAATTTCTGAAAAGAGCAAAAAATGAGTTCCTCTTTTTGGACTAAGAGCAATTTATTCTATACAGCTCAACTGATAGCTAATAATCCTAAAGATTTTGGATGGATCAAATGATTCTGTAATTTGGACAGGGCTTATTTAGACTACTTGCCTTACTGCCTCAAATGAAATAAAACATTGCTAAGTAAAATATTTAGAAAATAATGTAAACTATACCAATATATCTTGATAATCAAACCCTTCCTTTATACCCCCAACACCCTAAATCTACGCTAAACTTAAACAATTTACTTACCTTTTAAAAAAACATATTATTTAATGTAAGTTTACAACTAAGGCTAAATTTCCTATATGTCCTTTCTAACAAAGATGCTTGAAGGTTTAGTCAAGAAATAAACAAAAGGAACGTTCTGGATTCATACAAAAAAAAAAAAATTACCTGGATGACTATCTGGCCACTTGGCAAATCCCCCTACAAGGCGATCTTGAGTTGATAAGATGTAATTTCTATTTTTCTCAAAATTAGTGTATTGGAAAATTTTCAGAAGCTGAAATAACAAGACAAATATAAATTTACTGACATAAAACTTTCATATTGACCAATTTCAGAACTATATCATTTAAATACGCTTTTCTCAAGCTAAGGCTCTCACAGCAAACCTCTGAGGACTTGAGCACTTAAAACTAGTCAACCACATTATCTTTTTTATTATCGTATCAAATTTACTCTCCTGATTTCTTGACCCATTCAATGTTTCCTTCTTTTGAACCATGCCCACTTAACCTCTTTTCATCACAACTTCCCAAATCTGTTCAACTTCTTTAGTCACTTAAAAAAGTACAATTTTATCTACCATATTTTAACTCTTATGATAAGCTTTTGAGTTATTAAGTTACAAACTGGTAGTAACTAGAACTAAAAATATTTCATAAAAGAGCAACAAAATTTATTAACCAAATGCTAGAGACAGTTTTGTTTGAGAATAGGAAAAACATTATAGATTTTTAATTAGGAAAGATAAAAGGTGAGACAAATATAATTTTAGCCTAAAAATTATGTAGCTTAAAGATTTATGACATGTATTATTTGTTCTCTCTCTTATGATCCCATTAAGTAGAAAAAAATAAAAGGATAAATCAAAGTGTAAGCGAGAAGGGGGCGGTAAGCAGTAGGCAAGAGAGTTCAAGACATTTCTGTAAGACACAATGCAACTGAAAGTGTATTAATGACTCAGAGAGGCACGGAGGGTATAAGTGATAATTGAAAAAGCATTATTTCTCAAAAATAAAAACAAACCAATAAAAAAGTTATGGTACAAATAAAAAACAAACTTATTCATTTTGATTTAATTAATAGAATATAAGGAAAGACGCTTTAGAATCCTGATGTTGGAAGCAGTCCCACCAAATTATTCCCTCTACTTTTGAATATATTGAAATTTCCCATAATTAAAAAAAATTAAAAATGGTACAGGAGAGAGGAAGGGGGCTCTTGCCTTCATTTGAAATCATTCTGTTTTTCGAATTTACTTCAACCATATGTATGAGTTTTTGTCTAAGAGAAAAAATTAGAAAATTATATAGAAGATGAATATAGACTTTTGTTAGATTCTAGAATATCATAACTAGGTGATGCTTTTTAAAGGTGAAAGGCAATTTTAAAAAGAGAAAACCTGTAGGTAGTGGCTAATAACCCTATGTAATGAGGTGTTATTAAAATGTTGTAGAGATGGGGGAAAACATACCAATCAATACACTGCAGACGGTTTACATAAATAAACAAAAATAGAAAACCTTAAATGATTTTTAAAGAAATGACCCATGGTTTACCTTTTAGGATTAATATCTTCCCATAAATTCTTTACTGCTATGCTTAGACAGATCCATGCTCTAGATGGACTACCGATCAGTTTCAGTAACAAGTTTTTTTTTTATGCCTACTTTCTTACCTGGGCCACCTGAATATTGTAAGAATGGAAATTTTCAAGTAGCACGACAGATAACTGAATTCTATTGAAAAACCATTAGACACTGGCTTTGCCAGAGCAACAGGAAAAACTCAGTAGCCTAAACCAAAGAATATTTAATGAATAGTACAAAGACCAAACCCTCCAAACGCAGCTGATAGTAACAGAGAGCATAGGTTTCTTATTTTTACTATTTCTCTTACCTTTAGAGTTGCTCCCACCCAGAAAGAATAACAGGTGTCTACAGGCTTGTTCGGTCTTCCATGATAACCATTTTGCTGCCTCATTATACACCATCTCTTTATCCTGTTCAATTCTTTTTCTGAAAAAACTTCTTCTAGTTTACCCATGAGACACAGCGATGCAATGCCACAAAAAGTTGAGCCTCCTGTTAATCAAAACCACATAGTTCTTTATACTTCAAAACAGATGCCTAGGAAAATAATATAAAATGGTCGGAGGAAAAAAAGTGGTTAAATAATTCTAGAAAATAGTGAAATAAAAGTAGTTTAAATTTAAGACAACTATAATTTTAAACAGCCACTAAACACCGAAGCCTTCCATATTAATTTGATGAAACAGGAAATAATTTAAAATAAGTTAAAGCTATAAGAAACATTTTACTTATGAAAACAAGTAAGGCTTAGGGCAGTGATGGCGAACCTTTTGAGCTCGGTGTGTCAGCATTTTGAAAAACCCTAACTTAACTCTGGTGCCGTGTCACATATAGAAATTTTTTGATATTTGCAACCATAGTATAAAAAAGATTTACATTTTTGATATTTATTTTATATATTTAAATGCCATTTAACAAAGAAAAATCAACCAAAAAAATGAGTTTGTGTGTCACCTCTGACACACATGTCATAGGTTCACCATCACTGGCTTAGGGAGACTAAAAAACTTGTTCAAAGTTATATGGTTAATGGCAGAGCTGAAACTAAAACATAGAACAGACTACTATTCCCTGTCTAGGACTCTACCACCTGAGTCAGATTGTAATTCCCTTAAAGATAGTATATTACTTATGAATTGATGTTTTATCTGACTGAAGCTACATCTAATTTTAACATATAATATAAACAAGCTAGAAGCTGGTATGCAGATGTGATACCTAGTTGGTTTAAGAAATTTAAGGAAGCAAAGTCTGAGCAAGGGAGAGTGTGTGTGGGCGGGGAGAAGAAAGCGGTAGCTGGAAGTCGATGCACAGTGAGTGTCCATACTCACTACAGTAGACTGAATAGTGCCCCCCAATGATATCCAAGTCCCAATCCCTGGAATGTATGCATGTTACCTTATATGGCAAAAAGGACTTTGCAAATGTGATTGCATTCAGGATCTTGATATGGGGAGATTATCCTGAGTCACCTGGTTGGGCCCTAAATACACCCACAAGAGCAGAGGGAGATTAAACTGCAGAAAGAGGAGGCAATGTGACTATGGAAGCAGAGCCTGGAGAGATGTGGCAATAAATCAAGGAATGTTGGCAGCCACCAGAAGCTGGAAGATGTAAAAGAACAGGTTCTTCCCTGGAGCCTCCAGAAGTAACTAGCCCTGGTGACATCTTGATTTTAGCCACATAAGATGAAGTTCAGACTTCTGGCCTCCAGAACTGTAAGAGAATAAATTTTTGTTGTTTGACACCCCCAAGTTTGCAGTAAAATGTTACAGCGGCAATAGGAAACCAATATGCTCATAAAGGCAATTACTTTCCTCAGAAAGTGAAAAGTCAGTATCCTATCTAATAAAAGAGAAACATGGTAATTAGCATACAACCGCTACCCTTCCCATTGGCCAATCAGGGTGATATGCAAATTAACTGCCAGCCAAGATGGCGACTGGCAGCCAGGCAGCTTAAACTTAACATGAGGCTTGCTTGCTTCAGTGAGCTTGCAGTTTAAGAAACATTGTAACATATAGAAGCTAAACAAAACCCCAGAAACCAGCTTTCAGCCGGCTGGGATCTCAGAGCTGGAGTTGATACAGAGTTTCGATTATAGAACCGAAACAAACCAGATACCTGCTTTCAGGAGCGGAGGCCTAAGAGCTGGAGCCTCAAAGCTAAAGCTGGCCCAGAAAAAAAAAAAAAAAAAAGAAAAAGAAAAAAAG